AGGGGATTCCTGGGCTCTGCCATCCCCTTGCTCCACAGCAGCCCCGCTCCCCAGCCTCGGTCTCCCCATGACACTGGGGGCCCTGGAGGGAGGAGGGACGGCCACACCCCGACAGCCTGTCAGTGCTCCCATGTGACCAATGAGGCGACAGGCAGAGGGCACACCGTGGTGGGCGGGGTCTTGAACTAGACCTGAGGCTGGTGGACACACTGTGTGTGGTGGGGGGAGGGGGGGAGGGGGCATGCACAGCAGGCCCCGTGGGTTCCGGCCCCTGGGGAGTGGCCCACACCCTCCATGTCTGCCTGTTGCCACAGCGGGGCCGGGAGAGGTAGCAGGTTCTCTGATTGACAGAGCCCCGGGGAGGGAGCAGAGGGCTCTGCTGGGCGGCGTGAGCATCGTCCCCACAGCGTCCACCCTTCAGCCACCTGGAACTTGAATTAGGGGCCTGGTTCCACTGTGTTCAAGGTCAACGAAAGCACAGCAGCAGGGCGGCCTCAGAGAGGTGGCGGGAACGGGGAGAGGGAAGACGCATCCCTAGTGCCAGAAGGTCCGGGCGTGTCCCTGCGTGGGGACCGCAGATAAACACACAACCAGTGTCCTCGCTCACTAAGCGAAGACACAGAAGCTCTGCCTGTTCCGGCTAAAACCAGGCACTTGGATTCAGAGCTGCGCTGGCTCACCCCCCACCACTACCTCCCGCGCCCCCCCACGCATTTCTTACCGTGAGAACCGTGGCCACCACAGCAAAGCCCAGCAAGCAGGTCACGTTGTCCCTTTCCGTGTCCAGCGCCACGCTGAGGTCAGCGCTGTAGTCGTAATACAGCCACCACAGGACGCCACAGACAACTGGGAGGCCAGGCACGGGCTCAGCACCTGCCCCAGGTGCCCACCCCACCTCCACCTGCACCCAGCTCGTGGGGCCACACGTCCCTGGGCGCCCTGAAGGGCTGGCAGGCCAGGGCCACCCAGACATGGAGTGGATGCGTGTCTTTGGGAGATGCAGGAGTGAGCAGGGGAGAGACTGTGCCAACAGGACGGTGAGAGGAACAACATTCGACCCTAAGTCTAAAACCTCCCAGCGGGCTCTGCTGGTGACGAGCCCGCAGGAGCCGGGGCACTGCAGACACTCTGCCACCTTTGCCACATCCACAGTGACAGGAAGGTCACCGTCCCTCGCCAGTCCCGGTGCGTGTCCCCCGGGGACCCACTGTGTACCTGGGCCGAGGGCGCTGCATGGGAGGGCACAGCGGTTCTCCCGGGAAGGAAACTGGCTGCACCCGGGACTGGAAGCTCAGATCCCTGGACCCTGGTGCGGCTGCTGCCCCAGCCTCCTGCCCGCCCTGCCTCTGGGGCCCCTCCCCCGGCCCAGCAATGAAGAGGGAAGCAGTGGGGCCGTTTTCAAGGATGGACACGAGGTCATGACCGGCAGGCTCGTCCCCCACGTGCAGCGAGATGGGGTCAGAGAGGAGACTCTAAGGCCCCACTTCACCCAAAACCTGGAGCCTTTTGACTTCTACGCTTAATGGAAAGGCTCTTCACTTGGTCAAACAGAAACCCAGCCCAGCCGCGTGGCTCCGTGGCTGAGTGTCGGCCCAGGAACCAGGAGGTCAGGGTTCAGTTCCCAGCCAGGGCACAGGCCCAGATTGTGGGCTCGATCCCCAGTAGGGGGCGTGCGGGAGGCAGCCGATGGATGAATCTCTTCATTGATGTTTCTATCTCACTCCCTCTTCCCTCTCCCTTCTTTTCTGAAATCAATTTAAAAAAATAACTTATTATTCTTTTTAAAGGAAACCCAAGTGGAAATACTCACACAGCAGCCCCACAGTAACCAACGCGACCAAAGTGTGAACCAGAAGGCGGGTGACAACGCGGAAGGTGAGCATCATGGCCAAAGACAAGGCTGGAAAGAAGCAAAACACAGTTCAGCGACCACCGCGGTGTGAGGGCCCAGAGGCTCCGCCCCAGAGGGAGGGCGACATACAGAGCGAGGCTCTAAATTTAATCAAGAGGCTAATTTTCATTGTCCGACATACATAAGTGGGAGGAACCCTGGCAGCCCCGCACGGATGGTCATGAGTAAAAGTGAGGACTACCCAGTGCGAGGACGCACAGGCCCAGGATCGTGTTTCTTCCCGACATGATCCCGCCGAGCGCGCGCTGGAGGGCGTCAGCGTCGTTGATCAGGACAAACCCGAACAGGGAGTAGCACTCCGGCGTCTGGGGGACGCAGCGGTTAAACAGGGGGAAAGACTTGCTAAAAATAAAAGGTGGGAAAACGGTGGAGAGGTTTGTTTAATTACTTTTTAAAAAAAAAGATGTTTAGAATTCTCAACAACCAAGAGAGCATAAGAGAGGCAGTAATAAAAAGAGGCTTAGTACCCTGCGAGCAGAGGCCCTCAGAGAGCCTGCCGTCAATCCCTGTTGCCGTGGTGACAGCCGATTGATGCCTCTGGATGGGGAATGACCAAGGGAACTCTGGGAAGCAGGCACCCAGAGATCACTGGGAAAGGTGGCCTTGCAAACTCAGAGACCTCAGTGACCCCAAAGGGTGGTCTGAACTGAAAGCATTTTAATTAAAAGCCGTCCATGGTGAGTAGTCACGTCCTAGGCCAGTGATGGCGAACATATGACACGCGTGTCAGAGGTGACACGCGAACTCATTTTTTTGGTTGATTTTTTTGTGTTAAATGGCAATTAAATATATAAAATAAATATCAAAAGTATAAGTCTTGCCCTACCCAGTTTGGCTCACTGGATGGAGCGTCGGCCTGGGGACTGAGGAGTCCCGGGTTCGATTCCGGTCAGGGGCATGTACCTTGGTTGCGGGCACATCCCCAGTGGGGGGTGTGCAGGAGGCAGCTGATCGATGCTTCTCTCTCATCGATGTTTCTGACTCTCTATCCCTCTCCCTTCCTCTCTGTAAAAAATCAATAAAATATATTTAAAAATATATATATAAGTATTTGTTTTACTATGGTTGCAAATATCAAAACATTTCTGTATGTGACACGGCACCAGAGTTAAGTTAGGATTTTTCAAAATGCTGACTCGCCGAGCTCAAAAGGTTCGCCATCACTGTCTGTCCTAGGCCAGCAGGTAACTGGTAACTTCCCTTTTTCCCGACCCCTCAGGGCATCACCAGTGCACCAGGGCGGAGACACAATCCCCTCCTTGTTACTGTTATCACATTGTTATTGTTGACTGTGAACTACCCTGCACCCACCCGTGTAAAGGAAGCATGTGGCCATCGTTTAACTTTTTATCCAATCCCAGGGGTTCCCACCCCCTTTGCTGTCTCCCTCCCCCCTCATCACCACCAATGGATTTCACGTGACACACGTCTCCTCCTTTGATTGCAATGTATAGAACGAGGGGAAAACCGCCATTCCCCGGAGCACTGTCCCAGTACACTGAGAGTCTGCTTCCCGGCAACTGTCCACAGTTTGGCTCAAATAAACTCACAAAAATTCTTTACAGGTTTGCATGCTTCTTACGTTAACAGAATTCATCTGAGCAAACGACGCAGTGACTGGATGGGCACGGAGGAGGGAGACTGGAACCAGAATTCACCGGAGGGAAACCTAAGCCTTTCAGATTTCAAAGGCACGCGGGACTCAAAGTCCTACCTGACCTTGGACTCCAGAGGGGGAGGGCCTGCTGGTCAGGGACCGGCCGCAGCCTTTTCTCACTGCTCCTGAGAGCTCTCACCTGGGCACTCACACCTTCCGGGCACCCGCCACTGCTCCGAAAGGGCACTGAGCCTCACGTGGTCAGCGGGGGAGGAACAATGGCGGGTCACGGGGAGGCATTCAGGAAATGTGCTGTGGCCCCGCAGCCACGCTTCTCGGGTTGCGAGCCTGCACTCCTGGCAGGGCTCTCCCGCGATAAACCCGATCGTCCCACCTCAGGACAGACACTGGCTTGTGCGGGAGAAGGAGATGGAGCCTCCATGTCCCCAGCTCTGTCCGAGGAAAGCCCGCCGGCAGGGCTTGTCTTCACTTGGAAAGCTGGTATTGGAAGGGTCGCATTTGAGGGTGAAAGGGCTGGTCTGGTGACCCTAGGTCACATGGTATGCCACCGCGCCCGCCCCCCCCCTCGGTGTGAGCCCAAGGGGACCTCTGCCAGGCCACGCCCCCGAGGAGCCCTGCCTGCTCCCGTGGTCACAGAAACAGCGTGGGTGCTGCCTCACAGCCTCCCTGTCGGCAGCACCTTCGCCAGCAGCAAAGCAGGAATGAAAGCGACACCACGGCACCGAGGCCTGGACAAGTGACTCCACCGCCAGAACCCAGGAAAGGCCCTGCCCGGCAAGAACCAGACGCTCAATGACAGCCGCCAGGACCCAAATCTCAGCCTGGCAGGGCCTCCAGCTGCCGTCCACTTAGGGGAATAGTCCACCTGCGGTCAGGGTACCACCTCGAAGCCCCTCTCATGCCTTCTGCAGGGGGCACGGAGAGGGCGCCCCTAAAGACCTTCCCGGAAGACCAGCACTGCCATCTCGCTCCGCGGGGAGCCAGCGCGCGGGGGAGGGCTCGGGCAGCACCGCAGGCGGGTGCCCGGAGCTCAGCCTAAGGAAGACCCTTGTTCACGTGGTTCTTAGGAGGACGGGACGGGGCCAACACGGCTACAGAATGGAAAGGCTCGGGGCGAGGGGGGCCTGTGTGTACTTCACTCTCTGCTATACTGTGTTCCCCGCTTTAGCCACCATGCCGGGCACAGGGCCCTTGCTCCATAAACTGCTTTGAATGAGTAAGTGATGGGAGTATGAGGATTTCCCCACCTGGTTAAGGAGGAAACTAGAAGGTAGAGGTAGAGAATCTGTTCAAGATTACATAAGTAGCTAAAAATAAAAACTCACACCCACACCGGCAGCCTGACTCCAGGGCTCGGGATCCTAATAGGTTACAAATGCATCAAGGAGAGGCATGTGATGGTCATGGGAAACAGAAAAAACATCTGTGTGACGGTGCAGAATATCACAGTGTGAATGAATATGCAAATTCTAAAAAAAACCCAGGAATGCCTGGTTGCAATAAAAAGGCCAAAGTCAGTGGATTCTACTTTGTGACAGAGTTGTTGCTCTCCAGGCGCACCCACGCTGCTGCAGAGGGTCAGCGTTCTTTCACGGCTGCGCAGGGTTCCCTGGTGTAGATGGACCACAGCTTTACCCTCTCACCTGGCGATGGGCCTTGGACTTTTCCAGACCTCAGCTATTGTAAACTGTGCTATGAACATGGGGGTGCGTACACTCTTTCTGATTTCTTAGGATATATTCCTAGAAGTGGGATCACTGGGTCCCATGGGAGTTCCATTTGAAATTAAAACTCTTTAAATAAGAAAGCAGTCTATGGTGGGTAGTCATGTCCTAGGCCAGAGTCCTCCCTGACAAAGACCAACTTCCGTCTTTCCTGAGCCCGTTTTCCTTTTGCATCTAAGATAACACACCTTGGGAAAGTCAGGGTAACTAGTAACTTCCCTTTTCCCCACCCCTCAGGGCACAGCTAGCCTCCAGGGCGGAGACCACAGATTCCCTCATTGTTACTGTTATCGAGTTAATTGCTGACTGTTAACTACCCTGCACCCACCTGTGTGAAGGCAGCATGCGTCCATCATTTCACTTTTTATCCAATCCCAGGGTTCCCCCCCTTTGCCTTCTCCCGCCTCCCTAATCCATCACCAATGGATTCAAGTGACCACTTGCGTCCCCTCCTTGGACTGTGATGTTTAAAACAAGGTGAAACCCGCCACTCTCAGGGGCACTATCCCAATCCATTGAGGTCCTGCTTCCTGGCCATTGTCAACAATTTGGCTCAAACTCACAAAAATTCTTTCCAGGTCTGAATGTTTCTTACGTTAACATGTGCATGCATCGCTCTTGCTGGCTCCAGGCTGCCCTGTGAGGACCACACGCACCTTTATTGCTGTTTCCTCCTGCTCGGCCTGGTTCCCACCCCGCTGTCCTTACAAACGCTGCAAACAGCCGCACCTGGTTGGTCCCTGGCCTCTGGCCGACCTGCTCCCTGCAGACAGCTCCACCGCTCACTCCTTTGCCCCTCCCACAATGCCTAGAAGAGTGATAGACAGGGCCAGGCACCCAATCACCTTTGTTGACAGACAGGGGACGTTTGGGCTTTTACCTGGGAGGCACTGGGAGCCTGGGGCACAGTGAGGCTGCACCGGGATTCTGGGTGTAGTTGGCGGGACTCAAGCTGTACACACACAGGAAGGACCCTGGGAGCAGGAGATAGCAGACTGTAGGACCTGTCCCTGTCCCTGGGGGAGCCAGCACAGCAACCCGTCCTTGTACAAAACTGTGCGGAGACGGGATGAATCCCTGGGATCTAGAAAGGGGCCTGTGGGGGACCTAGAGACAGACAGCACACGTGCCCCCTGAGGTCAAGGGGGGCCCTCAGGGCAGGTTGTCTCCGGCAGGCGTGCACAGGTGACCCCACCGCGGCTCCCCCTGGGGCAGGGCCCGCCCTCGGGGCCCCTCGGCCCCTACCAGTGTTGTTGGCGAAGAGCTGCACTTCGTCCAGGGTGTGGAGCTGCTCCTCGGGGCAGCTGGCCACACAGAGGGCGGTGGAGCCGAGCCGGCCATCCCTGACGTCCAGGTGGCAGGAATCCATGAAGAACACGTGTCTGGGAGACAGGAGACAGGAGGGGACCGCCTCAGAGCAGGTCTTCTCCTGGGGCTCAGTGGGGGCCTTAAAAAATAGCCACAAGCTACCAGATGCGGGCATAACGAGCAAAGCCTCATGACGAATGCCTCCGCAGAAGTCAGTGCGTGCCACGCCCCCGCCCCCCCCATCGCAGCGGGAGCCACACTCAACTGTTAACTAGCGGGCGGGGCTCAGTGGTTGAGCTGAAACCCATGAGCCGGGTCACCGGTTAGATTCCCGGTCAGGGCACATGCCCGGGTGGTGGGCTCGATCCCAGGTAGGGGTGTAGGAGGCAGCGATCGATGTCTCTCTCCCATCATTGATGTTTCTCTCTCTCCCTGTCCCTTTCTCTCTCTCTAAAATCAATAAAGACATAGTTGAAAAATAAATAATAATGAAGCTAGACTTGTCTCTACGAACTTTGCTAGTAGCATGCACAAATGTACGCAAAACATTTTAACTAACGTCCCTGTCCAGCTCCGCGTTTTCTGGGGGACAACAGCAGGAGCTGCCTGAGGTGGGAGGGGGCTGCCTGGACCTCCCAGGGGGCTGGCGGCAGGCAGTGCACAGTCTGCTCTAGGAAACCCGCAGGAAGCACCTCTGCCCCAAGTCCATCTACTTCAGAGAGTAGCTGGACCCAGAGCCGCAGGAGGGGAGGCTGTGAATCTGAGGCCACCGGCCACGGATGAGAGTGCAGACAGGGGCGGGGGAGGGACAGTCCCCGGCGCTCCCAGTCGGGACGCGGCTATTTCTCCATGGAAACAGCACTGGGGATGGTGTGCCCTTGCTCACATGCCACTGGACTGACACATGAGGAGGCGGAGGATGGCAACAACTAACGTTCAGTGAGCCGTAGCTCAGGCAGTGTCTCGGGATCCTGGCAACAGCCTGGCCGGGGGGATAATGAACCAGGCTTCACAGGACGGAAACTCAGCTCAGAGAGGTGACGGGCTCTGCCCGAGGGCTGTTGATTCTGAAGCCATGGCCTCAGAGTTTTAACGGGAAAACGGTCCCAGGCTCAGAATGACCAATGGACGCAAAGTGTGACATGGAGCCCCCTGCAGGTTGGAGGCTCACGTGGACACTTACTTTTTTAGGGTCATGTCCTGCCCGGAAAGAGGGGCCCCTTCGATGGGGGAGTTCTTCCTGCCGCACACGTTGCCGAAGCTGTCGTGGCCGAAGAGGAGCCTTCCCGTGGCTCCGGCCGCCACCGAGGAGCCCGTGATGAACATCTGGGAAAGCCCAGGTGGCACGTGAGAGCCTGGCCAGGGGCTCAGGAGCACTCCCCCCCCCCAATGTTGACATGAATGAAACCAAACAAACTGGGGGGCATCAAGGTGCTCCCCTCACACGCTCCCCAGGTCACTCAGCTTTTATCCAAGAGCCAGGGCTCTGCCACTTCTTTCCCCAAGTTTTCAGATGTCTGTCCGTCCACCTGTCCACCCCTTCTTCTCTCCTCCCTTCCTACCTTTCCCAGGTTTCCTTCCTTCCTACCCTCCCTTCCTCCTCCTCTCCTCGCCCCCTTTCTGTTCTTGTCTTACAAAAACTGACCCTCAAGGGTTGAGGCGACACAGCTGATATACACCAACAATTCTGCGGGACAAGAACATCTTGCAGTTGATAGTCACTTTTATCCAATTTCACAGTGAATGTGGAATATTTGAAATTCCACCTCAAAAGTTCAGTCGCAGTGACAAGCACTGGCGGGCCTGGCCGACGGAGTCAGATCGTCCGCGAACACAAACACGGGGCGTGAGTTTCCCAGCCGCGCACGCTGCGCAGAGCACCACCCGGGACTCAGGATGCAGCGGGCCTCCGGGGACGGACCATGTGACACCATGCGTTTCCCAGGCGCACTGTCCCAGCCAAATGCTGCAGGGGTCCGCACCGCATCGTTCACTTAGAAACCAAAACAACAGTCTGCAGGGCCCAGCGTCGGCCAGGGACCGAGCCGGGGACAGACAGATGCCCGCCCCGCAGAGGCAGGAAGAACAGGCCCCAGGCTGTTTTCCGTCTGCGGTTTAACAATGTGGCAGCAGCTACTAAAAGCCAGTCCGCTCGGGAAGGGCTCTCATGGCTCGGATCTGACGGAGGAGGGGCACGGGCACAGGGAAGCCTCCGGTTTACTTGGCAAATGGCCTGCTCTGAGGGCCCCTCTCCGATGGCCTGTCACTGTGCAGGCTGGGCTGACCCAGCGGCCGCCAGGCCGGGAGCGCGGCGGTGACGTCTAGGTTTGAACCGCGCAGGGGCTGGGGAAGACCATTAAATAACACAGGAGCCCCAGGTCCAAGCTGCTGGGTGCCGGCCGGACAGAGGCTCCGGCATTCCTGCAACAGCGGGCCCGGCAGAAACACCAGCCACCTGTGGGCAGCCCCAGGGCCGCGATACAGGCAACACAGACGTCCGGTTACACCTTTACGGCCCGGCCTGTCTGTCTACATGGAACCAGTTGGGAAAGTCAACAACCAATGCTTTTCTAAGGAGAGAGGAATGGGGAAGAGAAACATGGCATCTTAGAATCTATTCCACTTTATCGCTTCTCAGCACAGGCACTCCTCGCTGGTGCCAACAGCGGGCTTTGTGGGTTAATCACCCGCCAGGCAGCAACTGCAGCCTCCATCGCTGCGGACGGTTTCACCCGGCGGCCTGAGAGGGTGAGGGAGCTCTCCCTGCTGCTCCCACAACTCTAAGGCAGCGCAGAGCCGCAAGATCCCGCTTCCACGGGACGCGCCCAGGACCAAGCAGCACAGCCTGGGGAGGTCTGCCAGCAACCACATACCTGGAAACCGGAAAGAAACTGGGGGTGGGGGTGGGGGGCAGTGATCAGCTGCCGCACTAGCGGGTTCGTGGCACAGGCCTGCTTCCCTCGGCTGAGAGTCATCTATTTCCAGGCTCGCCTTGGACTGTCCTGTGTTAAAGGAACAGCAATCGCCTGAGGGACGTTTTAACCCGGGGGCTGAGGTGGTATGAGCACCCCCACGAAGTGAGTGTGGAAGAGACACTGCACACGGGAGAGAGACCGAACATGGGAGAGAGACAGCATGCAGGCTAAGAAACGATCCCATCTCCCCGCTCCTACCCCACAGCCTCTCCTCCTACCCCACGGCCTCGGCCCCTAATGAAGCCTTCTGTTCGGACGCCCTGCAGGACCAGGCAGCTGTCCAGGTGAGCAACACACCTGACCAGCTTTCCGGGATCGTGCTCATCCTGCCCCAGGCAGGTGCCTCCCATGGTGGCACCAGCTTTCACCTGGACCGACCCCCCACACACACTTAGGCTCCCCCAGGAAAGGCCTAGCCGTGCGATTTACAGGTGGGGCACAGCTCTGTGAGGACCCACACACCGGTCTCCTCCCTGCCAGGCGGCCACGCTCACCAAACCCGCCCAGAAGAGGAAGAACAGGAGCAGCCAGCCCGTGTCGGTGCATTTCCTGTAAATCTGAGGCCGCCACTCTCTTCGCTGGGGGGTTCTCTCTGCGGAAACCTGCCAGGAAAAGAGGGGAGCGCGGAGGAAAGGGCGCGGTCACCTGGGGTCCCACCTGGGGCGGCCCAAACTTGCTGGAGGACTGCGCCCAGGAACTTCCTTTGTGTGTGTGTTTGTTCTGGGAGCTCGCAAACACCTGCTCCTCGCGGGGTGGGTGGGAGGCCCCGGGGCCCCCCCCAGCCGCTAAGTCCCCACCTGGCGGTGTACCTGGGGGCGGCCCGAGGTCGCACCCTAGGCCAGCCTCCCCCCACCAGCGCCCCAGCAGAGTGGGGTCCGAGGCGCCCGCCATGGGTTCCAGGGCTCGGCTGCAGGCAGGGCTCTATCGGCGCAGAGAGGGGCAGGTGAGCGCAGGTGAGG